TGTTGGTGGTAAAGACACACTACTATTTGTGAATATTTGTGACTGTAAAACACCCTGACACCGACCGCGCGGGACGAGGCCGCTCTTACCACAGGAGCCCCCGCCGCCATTTCCCCACCACCTCAAGGCCCGTGGGGCGGGAGAGGGAGCGCCCCCTGGCGGGCGGCGTGGAGCGGCTCCCGAGCCAAGGGAAGGGAGGGCCGCGGAACCAGAACCGCCACCGTGCCCCGGGAAACGGCCGGCAGGGGCAGGAAGAACGCCGCGGAGCTGGGGAACCAGGCGTGTGCTCGGGGAAGCCGGCCGCCGGCAGGGCAGGGTGTGCTCCCCACCCCGCTGTGGGGGAACCGAGAACGATCTCCCACGGTGCCGCGCAGCCTCTGCGCTGGCCGCGGTCCCCAGCGGCTCCTCACTCGCGCCGTCAGGCCAAGCCGTGGGCGACAGCTCCCGGGCCTGCCCCGTGCCCCGGTCACCCCCGCCCAGAGCCCGTTCGGCGAACGCGAGCAGCCCGGAGGCGTCCGACCCCGCAGGCCCGGGCGGAGGGCGCGGGGGCGGTACCGCGCCGGCAGCGCTGCCCGGAAGGCGAACCGGCGGCCGTTCCCACAGCCGGGCCCGGAGAAGTGGACAGCGCCACCAGAGCCCGCAGCAGCCCCCGCTCCCGCCCGGCGAGGAGAGGAGAGGCGAGGCCCGCACCCTCCCGGCAGCGCCCGCCTGGAGCCCGCCACCGCACCTTTACCGCCCACGCGCGGCCATCGCCCCTTTAAGGCAGCTTCCGACTGGAGCGCAGCGCGCGGGGGGCGCGGCGGCCTCCGCCCCGGCTCCGCCCCCCGGTATAAGAGCCGCGGTCCGCGCGCGGCGCGGCAGTGACCGGGCGCTGTCGGGGCTCGGCGCATGCGTGTCGCGCCGGCGGCCGCGCAGGGACATGCGGAGCTGCGCGACACTGTCGGGGTAAGTGATGGCCCCCGCGGCGGCGCCTCCCGCTGCTCGTTGCCATGGCGGTGGGGTGCCCCCTCCGCCGCGGCCGCTCCCGCCCGCCGCACACCTGAGCCGCCCGGTGTTGCTCGGCCGCGGCCCGGGGCCGCCCCCGTACGTGGCGCGTCGGGTCCCCGCCGCCGAGGAAAAGAGCGGGTGCCAACCCGCGGGTCGCCCGGGCCGCGGCGCCAGGGTTGGCCGGGCCCCTGGCACGGAGCCGCGGTCCCGGCGCGGCCCACGCCAGCGGGCGCGGGGTGTGGGGGGCGGATGGCGGCGGGCCTCGGCCCGGGAGGAGCGCTGGGGAGGAGCGGGAGCGCGGTTTCTGCCCTTGCGCTGTCGAGAGGGTGGGGAAGGGGCACCGGGAGCCCAGACCCGCCGCTGAGCCGCTTACCTGCGTGGTCGCGTCTCGGGTCCCCGCGGCGGGGAGCGCGCCTCAGGCAGAAGCCACTCCGGGTGGGACCCGCGGTCAGGGGCGCCCGGAGCCACATTCCTGGAAATGAACGTGGCATGCCACGCGTTTTCTGCCAGCCCCGAAACGGTATCAGTGTTCCCTCGCACTCGCCTCGGAGCTGCTCCTCCTGCTCCTGTGAGTAAACAGAGACCGCATTGCGGGATCGGGCTCTGTGCTTTGCACTCTAATTTGGGATGGCTTAATTTAGAATAAACATTTCTTCATGGCCTAATACCCCAGTACGCACTCCTGTTCGATTTTCTAAAATAGCCAGTCTGTGGTGTTTAAATCTGGAGATAGCACTGTACCCCTAAAGTATTTACAGTGCCTCTCTGGAGCATGTGTGCCTGATGCAGACATTCCCCATGTTGGCTACACAGAGGGAGCAGTCCAGAGCGACTCTGAGGCTTCAGTGGTCTCGTGTCACTAGTGCATAAACTAAGGACCCTATGCTGAAGCAATAAGCAAAACACTTGCTAGGCTTGATCTAAAGATAAACAGTACTTAAGTATACCTTGATAAACTGGGTGGGAAAGGCTCTGGGGGCAAGGTCTCTTTGTTCAGTTTGTGGATACCTGAATCTGTCATACGAGAATGACAGGTGAATGATGCCTCTACCTCACAAACTTTTCTGAATTGGATTTATAAGCTGGTCAAGCTTTTAAAGAGGAAACCATACTGCTCATTCACCCCTGTTACTTTATGCACAGAGCTAGTTTTCCTTCCTTAGCAATTTACCTACATGGGACAGTTTTTTGTTTGGTTGGTTTTTGATACTAGAAACCCATCTTTTGAGGGGGCATATGTTCTGGGTGAAGCCCTGTGTCTGCCATCCCCTATAATACGGGAATTACTCCGTAAGAAAACAATTCCACTTCTCTGTAGTGGAAAACAGAATTAAAACTTATCACAGCGTGGCTAACGCTATGGTTATGACTGAGTCAGCTATACAGGAATTTTTATTTCCTGAATGTAAGCTGGATATATTCACATTAAAATTTTCAGGAGGGTGAAGTACCATACCTTAAGCATGCATCTGAAATCTGACAAGCAGAGGCAAGGCAATTGTCCTGCTATTTAATTATTAGTTTTCTACTGGCAATTTACAGGTTCCTCCCAGTCGCTGTGTAGGACCGTGAAATGGCAGCCCAAATATTAACTGAACTTAAACTCCCCGATAAACTGCAGTTTTTTGAATCTATTCAGAAATAACTATTGTAATCTAAATCAGTTGTCTGCTGTTCAGTTCATTCGTCTGCTTAAATTTATGCCCATCACCGCCTGGCGTATACCTGTAGAATTAATATTATTTGCAACCTCCTACGATTTGAGAAGCATTTTTGTCCATCTTGACTAAGTGATTATAGTCGTAAGCTTTACACCACAGAGCGGTCTATTTCTGGTTCGCAGAACGTGTAGAAGAATCTCTCAAAGCTAAGATTATGCCTCATTTATAGAACAACTATATTTCCTATACATGGGAAAATCTCCTGAGGTCTGTATTGAGCACGATTAGGTTTGTGACTCTGATGGACACTGAACTGCACTGTGGAGGTTTGGTGCATAGTAAATAAGATCTAAGTATTTTAAGCATATAGAGTTCCTGAAAGTTACACTAACAGCTCTTAGGGCTGTGTAAAGTTCAATTAGCAGTCCAAAATACTTCACTATTAAAAGAGGTGGCTCTATCTCAGGTGCTTACGTTAAATAGAAAGTCAAAGGAAAAAAGGAAATTACATCACATTGTCAAATAAGGAACAGCTAGCTGGAGTGGATGACTTGTAGTGCAAAAATGTGCCCCTCCTCCTGTGAATTGCTTCTGAGATTTGTTAAAGATATGTGGCAGCAAGGTGAGCAAAAATAGGTGGTGGATTTAAGGTGGCCACGTTTCTTCCCCTCCCGAAAACAGTAAGTAGGTCTTAGTTCCTCCCTTTTCTCTTTCCCATTTCTTACAAGACATCTAAAAGCTGCCCAAAATCTGTGCAGGCATTCAGAGTTCTGTACAGCAAATTGCTGTGTTCCATAGCCATTAAGTGAAACATTCTAGAGCATGCTTTGGTCTGCTGTGCATACCAGAAAGGTTTTCTTTATTACAAACCTGACTCGCCTCAAACATTTGGTTGCACTGGGGCTGGAAGAGCAAGGAACAGAGTAAGAATCTCTGTGTGATCAGTGATAGGCACTGAGCTAAAATACATTAAATGCTTTTTAAGTTTCTGAACAGAGGATTACTGTTTCTGTAACAGGTATTTAGGGACACATATCCATATGAAAATTGTGTATTTGTGATGTTTTATAACTAAACTTTGTCTCTCAAAAATTTTCCCATGTATTCCCATATACATTCCTCACTATGTAGCGACCCTACTGTTTATGGATACATTTGACCATTTTCAGCTTAGACACTTCCATCCTATTATTCATCACTCATCAGTTCAAGTTTGAAGATATATTTAGCCTTATTAAAAAGATCAATCTCATCTCCAGTATTTAGAATATAATTCATATTTGTTAATGTGAGCAGGCATGAATGATTAAGAAGTGTCTCCTTTGCAGTTACCTGTCTGACAGTGGATGGTGGTGATAGCTTCTTAATGCACCGACAAACCTTTGAATTGCCCTGGCTTGTAGCTGCCCTGTAGTAATTACTAACCATAGACTGAACTATGTTTCTTTTGAATAACACTGAAGCTGTAACATCTTCAAAAGTGCTCAAAGTATTTCGATCTTTCCAAGTGCTACACTCTATGCATAGCTGGGCCAACAAGCAGAGGAACTGGAAACCCATTTTGTGCAAACAAGCATGAGATTCAGAATGCTTCAGTTACTGCACCGTGTCCATTTTCTTTAGCAAACATAGCTTGATTTGATTTCTGGTGAAGTTCAGATCCTTAAGTGTTTAAGGAGGCAGGACTGGACCAATGCTTACAGTGAAAACTGTTAGTCTTTATCTTCATGACTGACTTCAGAAAAAAAATTAAGCCAATTACTAGAAAATAGCAGCTCCTCAAGTATGTACAGCTTAGCTTTAGCAAGAGCACTCTATAAAATCCAGAGTTTGTACTCCTCGATTACACGTCCTCATGGCTCCCTTGTAAGACATTGGTTCTTCAAACAAGCTTATGCATGTTTTAAAATACAAGCACCAACTCTCCAGACTCCAGTGCAAAAGTTAACTAGACGATTTAGTGAAAGAGCACATGCCTTACCTCCGTGGTACTCCTAGCTGAAGGCATGGAGGACAGTTTCATAACTGGCCATTCAGGAGGCAAGTCACCTTCTGTGGAGTCACAAAGAGGGTATTGTTAGAAGGCAGCAAGTTTTATGGCTGCAAAACCGGCACTATTTTTAAAAAACACAGTTGACTGAAACAACTGAAAATTACCTTTTCCCAGAGTAAGTCAATATTTAAGTCCATTTCAGAAGTCAAGCTTAGCATTCAAGACAGATTTCAGAGGCACGATTGTGCAACTGTCAGTCTCGAGAGCTGAGATTTAGACAGCATTCAGAAAGCTGACACAGTAATTAACTAGCAGTGGTTCTGGTGTGGGATCTGATGGAGGACAAACCCTGCAAGCACATTATATGTGTTCTCAAACTGAGAGAGTGTGGCAGTGCTGCCACCCCCCATCTAATTTTTTAATATCATAATCAATGTCTTGCTCATGGCCTTGTTGTATCTTGTATGTGTGCTGCGATGGGGTGCTATTGTTTGCTGACTGATCAGTGTTCTGCATCAGTGATTTTTCAACTTGGGACTTGCATTTGACCTAAAAAATACACTGAAATGGAAGCACAAAATCCTTCACAGGCACTAGCCTTAAGTTCACTAATTCGTTCTCTTTCATTTCTTTTGAAGATTCATTGCTAATAGGGTAGGATCTGTGAGGCACAAAAAAAATCACTGCTCAGTACAGTGTGAGCTGATGTGATGGATGTTTTATTTGTGAGTTGTGTTAACGTGATACAAAGTCATTTTAGAATTGGTGCTGTGCTTGTATGGTGCTGCTTCAATTCTGACAAATGGATTTCTCCAGTCTTCTGTCCCCCCTAGACAAGGGTTCTGTTTGCACTTACAGAATGGGAAGAAAGAGCTGCTGTTAGAAGACTGCTAGAGATTCTGAAGTCATTTGCTAATCAAGGACTATGGTATTGCTTATTGGGGCTGTATGTTAGTATTTCATTTTACTATGAGAATCTGCAATTCCTGTTTCTGGGAAGGGTCCAACTTGACTGGGTAACATGAAAATGTCCAAGGCTAAGCTAGCTTTTAAGGAGATTGTCTGAAAAGGAAGAACATAGTCTTTACTAAAATCAGGAAGGCTGAAGTAAGTAGGACTAGGACTGTAATAGCCTGCTGCAGCAGACACACCACCAGTTTATTAGCTGTTGTTCACTTCTATGAAAGTTAACAGCCTCCTGTGTAGAGTTCTTAAATGCCTGGCTAAAACACTTTGTATAATCCCACTTCCTTTGACACAAGAGCAATCACAGGATCAAGTTAGGATCAAGAAAACCATCAGACTCAAAGAATGTGGTTAGTTCTTGCGCATTATGCCACACATACAGTTAGAAGCTGTTTTGCTTGTGTGATCAATCCTGGACACAGTTCACAGTTGGGAAAGCAAAGCAGAGTTGTTCTTTCTCAATCAATTGTTTATAAAAGGCAAATAGTGCTGTCAGACTGCAAATTAAATCCTGGGGCACCTGGTTTCCAGCCCTGCTTAGGAGTCTGCCCATCCCTCATATTGCAAATAAGTAGTATGGATCCTTCCTCTTAAAGGACAGGAAGATTACACATCCCCACAGAATGCCTGGTGTTGAACAGATTTACCATAAGCTATTTATTTTCTGTACCCCATTTTCTGGCAGTACCATACTGTGAAGGGGGTTTCTTGACACAAAACTGCACTGATGCAGCCCTCAGTTGTTGACTGACTTTTCTTTAGGTGGAACTCCTTTCAGGTGGTAGGAAGAAGGAAGCTCATGTTAAAAAAGAAAATGGTCATATATCTGATTCTCAAGAGATAAAAAACTGTTTTGGGTGGGTTGGGTTTTTTGTAGGTTCTGGGCTTTTTAAGCAGCCATACAACACTATATTGTACTTGCTGAATTTAGGATATTTGGGTAGATGAAGCACAGACCCAGAGAACTTTGCTTATAGTCTTGGCCTTAACGTCTCCTGCCTTCAGCATGTTGACTGCTTTTATGCTGCCCCTCTTCCCCAGTCCATTCTGAATTTCCCAAAGCAAGCCCTACGAGTCAGCCTGTTCCTTAGACTATGATTACTTGTTCAATATAAAGCAGTTGCCAACACATTTTTTCTGTCATAAATGGGCCAGATAAATGTGAATACAGCAGGAGAATTTAAGATGAGATTCTTTTACATCACTAGACTTCCAGTTTGAAATAGCTAAAAGGCTTAAGGATGATCTAAGGATCTTAGTACTTAATAATAGTGGCTGCTTTATATAAAAGAAGTTTTGGATTCTGATTTAAGTAGTCAATAATGCTGTTTATTGGAGCAAAGGCCATTTGTTAGGCTATTGAAGGTTAAACCAGACTAGGCTGTTAGATGTTGGCTACACTGGAAACCATCAACTCACTAGCAAAAAGACACAACTAAAGATACATGGCTACTAGAAAGTTAAAGAGATTGTGTTGGAAGACGAATTTTGCCTAACTAAGCAGTGTATGTGCAGGAACTGAAGTTGTTGATGCGCAGTGGTCATTAATGGTTTTACTGAATGTGGTTTTCTTTCTTCTATGCAGTTGAATTCTGTAAGAGAAGTTGCCTATTTTTTATGCTGTAGTAGTTTGGCAAGGTTTTCCTATTGGCAGGTACCAGGACAGAGGCCTTTCCAGAGAGCTGTTCAGCTCCTCCAAATACTGACATTTCAGTTGAGAGATGAACTCCTCAAGTTTGCATTTCTGATATTTATGTCCTCTCTTTTGAAGGGAAGGAGAACTTCAGGAAACCTGTCAAGGACTGACTTTCTAGGCTTGTGAGACATCACCAGGGAGCAGTGCACAATGTCAACTGCAGGAGTTGCTGCTCAGGAGATGAGAGTCCCATTAAAAACCGGATTTCTTCACACTAGTCAAGGCATGGGGAGTCTGAAAACCTGCTGGGGTAGCCACAGTGGATTTGAAAAGTGAGTGAAGCTAAAATTTCATCTATTGCATCTTCATATAGATGCGATGAGCATGATGAATACTTACACCAGTGCTACTGATGGTTTATTTACAGTGAAGACTTCTTTTTCTTTTAGTACTTTCTTTAACGTGGACCCTATAGCAGTGGCGTATAATTTGAACCCATCAACAGAGCCACATTTACCATCCATTGGTAAGTATAAGGATGTAACACATTTGTATTTACTTAGTCTATTGGATTTGTCTTTGGGAAAGAAAAGGTAAATCTTCAAGTCTTCACTAAGACACTAAAAGCTTTCTCCTTTCTCATTCTGGATATGAGGCTGCCCTCTGGTGACAGGATGCAAGAAAATGCTGCTATTCAAGCCCAACAAAAACCACAAACCGTTTTCAGTAACATGGTCAAGTTAAAACAAACAAAACCACTCTTTTCCTTGTCCTTAGAGGCCTCTCAGTTGCTGTTACACTTCAGACAGAAAAGCCATTTAGTGAAATAGCAGTTGCTCTGTCATAGTCCTTTTCTGGGATCTCTGTAGCTGTAACTGTTCTATTGCTGATGCTCGGGGTCTCTTGGGCTACGTTTTTTAACTGGAGGACTGGCCTAAAATAGTAAGGTAATCAGCTACTCTCTTAACTAAATACATAAATCTATGACCAGAAAAGATCCATAATAGCTACTTTTTGCTACCAGAGCATTAAGCAGACATTACTTATTGTTGCACTAGAAGGAATTAAATGTTATCTATGCAGTGGCAAAGTCATGCACTAGAATGTTACTTGGAAGAGTGTTTCTGAAGACTTTCTCACTTTTTTAGGGCACTCTTCCAACCACGCTTCTGTGAATGACCACACCTTTGCTGAAACTTGCACCCAAGTCCCAGCTCAGAAATCCAGTCCACCTCCTGTAAGTCCCAAAACTGAACAGCCCATTTCAAGATATGAAGAGCATCTCGTTCCTGGCTTCAGTAAACTGTCATTAACCATGGGCTGTGTTTCTGAAGAAACACCTCCTCACATGCCAATAAAAAACGGGCCAATTCAGTTTCTGTCTGCATCTTCCAGTGACCGGAGTTCCAGGCCACTGCCCCCTCTGCCTATTTCTGAAGACCTTACTCCAGATGAGGTTGACAGGGAGGTGGAATTCCTCACTAGCTCAGACACTGACTTTTTGTTAGAAGATTATGAACTTCCTCCTTTTAAATCCAGTGCTCCAAGCCGGCGGAGCTTTAGGGGCTGTGGACAAATCAACTACGCATACTTTGATACTCCAACAGGACCAAAACCAGAAGATGCCAACCCTACGCAAAGCCTAAGTGGATACATATCCAGTATTTATCCTCCTCCACAGCAGCTGCATCGACGTTTGCGAAGGTCCCATTCTGGGCCAGCTGGATCTCTTAACAAACCAGTAGTAAGACTATCTGGACACTTAAACAGGTCTTCTCCAAACTCTGATGAAGATAAACCAGAGATTCCACCAAGGGTTCCCATACCTCCAAGGGCTCTCAAACCGGATTACAGAAGGTGGTCAGCAGAAGTTGCTTCTAGTGCATACAGTGATGAAGACAGGCCTCCAAAAGTGCCCCCCAGAGAACCTTTGTCACGCAGCAATTCCCGCACGCCAAGTCCCAAAAGCTTGCCATCATACCTCAATGGGGTTATGCCCCCCACCCAGAGTTTTGCACCTGATCCTAAGTATGTCAGCAGCAAAGCTCTGCAAAGACAAAATAGTGAAGGATCTTCCAACAGGGTCCCCTGCATTCTTCCGATCATTGAAAATGGTAAGAAGGCCAGTTCAACGCACTACTACCTGCTGCCTGAGAGGCCTCCCTATTTGGACAAGTATGAGAAATTCTTCAGAGAAGCAGAAGAAAGTAGCTCTACCACAGAGGTTCAGTCGTGGTCTGATGACTGCACAGCCACTTCAGCCCCAGCCAAACTGGACTCAAAACCTAGAGTGGACATAGCTGGTCATCTGAAACGGAAACATCTGTCCTATGTGGTTTCTCCGTAGCCTCTGGAAGCAGGGTCTCAGCTCAGTTGTTCAGGATGGAGCTCAACTTTATCGTGTTACAAAGTTCTTCAGGTTCTCAGATAATGAAGTAGGACCAGTTTGTCCCCCGAGAACTGGAAAGTGGATGTAAAGTCCCCTTATGCTGCGTATCTCTGATATGTTTCTTAAGACTTTTTTTGTCTTGGTATGTATAGCTGAAAATCTACAGAGATTCCATAGAAACATATAGAGAGGTAGTAGTCACAGTTGGCCAGTTATATGCTACCTAGATGAACATATTTGGTAGTCATGGTATTAAAGAATTAAATCAATCTAGCTTTGCTTACGAGTCACTTACAAAGCTACAACAGGGCAGATAATGCAGTACAGGTTTTGTATCAGGCATTTCCAAAAGTGCTTTCACACAGGAGCTCTGCTGAGAACAGACTCTGTCCTCTTAGACTAGGATATGCCAACCTGGTGAGAAGGTAGCTGCAAGATCTGATATCCACTTCAAGACTTGGCAAGCATATTGGAAGTGCATTTCGAAAGATTAACCTATTTTACAACTTGATTTGACACTAAGACTTCTAAAGTGAGTTAGGTTTTGTGGATTCTTTCAGTTGCTAGACAACACTTGGCTCAATTTTGCAGTTTTTCCTAGGAGAGACTTGGACCAGCTACTGCTAAGCCTCTACTGCTGCTCTTTTCCTGCTGGATCCTAAAAATGTGTGAAAGTGGCCTGAAAGTGGCAGAGGATACGAGCAGCTCTACAGCTGCTATAGGGCAGGCAGCAACAACAACATGCTTACCTAGAGTCTGGAATTCTGACTGTATTAAATACAGAAACACAGCACAAGCTGGTCTTGTGGTTTGAGTTCTGTTCAGTATTTTAAGGGAGGAGAAAGATATGAGGAAAAAAACGTGATTCCATTTATGAACAGTGTCAGTCCCATCTCTCGCTGCTTCAGATGCTGCTTCTTGCTGTTCAGTTTTTCCTCATTGTGCCTCAGCAATCCATTGTTCATTGAGGTGCCACATTTGTGCTTTGGCAGTTTCTCGTGCTCATTTTGATTACATTTATCCTCTTGCGGATAAGCACAAGAGACAGGGTGCTCCTTAACGGAGGTGCAGAAGATGAATGTGTTCCTCCACAGAAAGAAACAAGCTGTTTACAGTTTAAACTGCTGAATGAGGTGTTTGAGCTATTTTAAAGCTTAATTTTTATTTGTTTTAGTACAAACTAAATGAAGGTGAAATACATGCTATAGAAATGCACTGATATTTCTGCATTGTGTACAGTATTGAATAAAAAAAATCACTTTGTATTTTGAATATTGTCATGTCTTGAATTTAATAAAGTTATAAAATATTTATGATACATTTTGGGCTTTGCTTTATTGAACAGTGAATGCAGTTGTGCATCTGAATGATGTTAAATGTGTAGCAAGTGTTGAATTCAGCTTGCATTTAATTCAGATTTCTGCAGGAGTGTTCAATAGCTCACATTGCACACCATTGATTTTAATTCCTCCTTCCTACCTGGCAGCACAGTGTCTGTAGTTCTGTGCTGGCAATAAACCATCCTGCAAGACTGAGTTATTCAGCCTATCATTTCCACATTCCAAGGTGGAAAATGTCAAATGGGTATTTGCAACCTTCCCCTTAAAGCTGAGCAGCTTTAACCCTAATGCTTCAAGTAACACTTTCTCAGTTACAGAGTCCCTGCTGCAGCAAGCAGATTGACACTGCTAAGCTGCAGCTTGTTCCTTGTTGATTGTGGCTTGGCACAGACTCAGTAGTTGTCATTCTAGAACTCAGCCTAAAACGAACCAACTGCCCTGTTACTCTCTTACAGCTTTTGCTTCTGGGTCCCACTCCATTCCCAATACTTGGAACCCTCTTTTTCAGCCTAGGTACCTGTTCTTGAACAGGCTACTCTTTCCCCCTTACCTGGAAGCACGTGAATTCTCCAAAGCCCTCATCTCAGTTTGGCTCTTAATGGCATTTACTCTCAAATTAGTAGGAAAGCCACTCTTGGATGGAAGAAAGCTTCCCCATGCAGATGCCCCACAGAAAGCCCTTCCTGCTTCCTCAGTGAGACTGGTTTGGCTTAAGGCACTTGGGGAAAAGCCACACTGTGAAACTAAGCCCTCTTGACAAGGAGGCCAGCCCTGGCATTCTGTATTCCTGGATGTACAGGGCATTGCATTTGGATAAGTAAAACAGCGAGTCTGAGCCACTGCCCCTGCTGCCAGGTCTCACTCCCTGTTCTCTTTGTGAGTACAGCGATGGGGTAAGGTTTCTGTCCTAACTCATTGCACTTCACACCTGATGGTATTGCTTACTGACTTGCACTTCTGAAGTGACTAACAGCTGAACACAGCTTGCGTATCAAAGGGGGCATTTGTTTCAATTTCCCCAGCTCACACCCTGGCAATGCACTTTCATTTCTGCTAGCAGTGGAAGTTCCCTAGTCACTGGGCAAAAATCTTTTCTGCTAATGCAGCAGCAAGACACCTACTTCCTCAGAATAAGAGCTACTTCTGAGTACAAACTTCAGATTTATAGTGCCGAAAAGCTTAAAAACCTGGTGCAGCTTGTGCTTTTGAATGGTCTGGCATAACCTCTCCTAAAATTCCAAATTCCAGAAGACTTTTAACCTAATCCCCATTATAGTTTTTTGTCAGAAGCAAAAGCTACATTCTCCTTTCCTGAAAGCTCTGGTATTGTCTACTCAGTCCTGAGCATTTAAATAAAATAGAATTAGTCTGTAGTGAAGCTCTTTCCCACTGTGTGTCAGCTGAAGAACAGCACAGTCACAGCTCATTCCAGAAGTTGAATTATGAATCTAAGTTTAGTACGACTGTAACTGAAGTAAAGCAGATTGAACCTGAATTGAAAATAGCAACTGCTTGGCTATGAGCAAGACATTCAAGCAGGTTAGAGAGCTCACATGCCTCTTCACTATGAGGAAAGTAATTTATAGGCAAGTCTTGAGTATTTCAGTAGCTTCCCCGTTTACCCTTTAAAAAATCAAAGTAATAACATTTCACTGAGGACTCGCTCCACAGTTCCGTGGCTGTCTCTGGGTGATGGTAATGGGGTCACTGACAAAGGCAGGTCAAAGCCTCACTTGTGTGTTTCTTGGACACCAGATTCCTGTGCTTTGGGGGACACAGTTTGCATGATCCAAGGAGTGTATTCCATTTTCCAAGCGAGTAATTAATGCTGTAGAGCTGTGGGGGAAGCTTTGCAAGTTCTGGCCAGAAGACATTTCTCTGCTCCTTCCCTGGCACATGATAAGACTTGTCAGGACACAACATGCTTTTGCAACAGCCTGATCGCATTTGAATATTTAGAGCTTGGGCTCACCTGGGCAAGGCCTGACAGTGCCTCTGAGGAGGAAGCCCCTTGCCAGATCCATTTGACTGGAATAATCACACTTCAAAGTTGTTATAACTTGATACACTGAGGCCTGAAGAGTCAAGGGATTTTGAGTTACAGCAGGGAAGAGAGACGTACACCTAGAGAAAGGCAAAGCTTCCCTCAGCCTCCTTACTGAAAGAGGGGGTTTCTGCTCACCCCCAGCAGTCTCTTTCTTGCCTCAGTAGCACTGTTGTGACCACCCAGCCATGGGTGCCAAGAGGCAGTGGTTTTCCATTTGCTCCCAGACTGAAATAGCTGCAATTGCCCCTGTACTGAAACTTCAGAAGAGCTCTTGCTCTTGTGTTTCCTCCTGCTCCAACCTTGGGTTTCTTTTTAAGCAGTTTTTAAACACTTCTAAAGTGGTAGGTTTGACATGCTAAAGGAAAGCATCCATCTAGTCCAGGACACAGCCACCAATTTGGCAAGGGCAGTTATTACAGCAGGGAGTAGTTACTGATGGAATTCAAACTGAGTCTTGTCAGGAACTCAGGGTTAAGATGATGACCAGATCAGTCATGGTGGAATTCCCACCCTTCAAACTCATGATTACAGACTGTGGCCCTTATAAACACTTTAAATACTATGACAAGCTGCATGTTAAATACAGAGTCTCTAGATTACCATCAAGAAGGAAACTTAAGGTAAGTAAGGGTAGCAAGATGCATAATTTCACCTCTAGTAGGGTCTCTGCAGTTAAGAAACTCATTGACTTTGTGTGTGTGTATGGAGTCGTCCTGGGGTAAATTTAAAGTAGCCTAATCTTTTATTTTCTTGCTAGCTTGCTTACAAAAGCACTTCTATCCATTTAAAATTGAAAACATTCAGCAGAATTTCTCATAGCTCCTTGGCACTGAGAATTCAGCACATGAAGCTTAATTATACTTATTAATATTTGTTAAATATACTTATTAATATTTGTTCATGGCGCTGCAGAGATTTCTGGCTGCTGAGCTGGTGATTAGCATTTGTAAGCTGCAAGAGGTGTTACCCCCACCCATCCTGCATTGTAACTCAGGCCTTGCATAATCCCCACCCAAATGCCTATTTTCATCCCCACAGCTCATTATTTTTTCTGAATCACATATGGAAGACACACCCATGATTGCTCATAGACTGGTGCTATATTATGTATATATTGGTGTGCACCTTGATCCCAGTTGTGGTTAATTTTGGAGAAGGTGTTAGGTATTCCAAATTGTAAGTGGCATGCCACTGAAACATGGGAACCAGCACTGCTATTCATTTCCTTACAAAGTGATTCAGAGGAAGAGATGCTTCTCTGTGTAAAACCTGCAGCTTCTTGCTGAAGATTAAAACTGTTGCCCAAAAGCTGTTATCATGTGGAAGCCACAAGAAAAGAAGAGAGCAAATATACTGCCATGAAACACCAGAGAAAAAAACATGCTAGGTTACCCCACCATTGCCACCCTGAATCTGCTTGAGGATGCTCACCACTGCACATTGAGCCATGGTGATAAAATACTAAGAGGCCTTCCATGTACCAAGTCCTGCATCTAACATAGGATCATGAAGCCTGGCTCAGAAGGATGATCTGCCCACCACCTACCCAGGTGACAGAGAGGTATGTTTCTGTCCCAAAAATATTCATTGTACCTTTGTTAATGTGTTTATTATGCTCACAATGTCAAAGGCACAGACAGCACTAGCAAGTGCCCTTCTGAAAGGCAACTGCAACACACAACCAGCCCCATACACTTTGCAGTCTTTAGGCATAAGGCTCTTAGGGAGCTTAGCGATTTCAGGGAAGTTCATACTAAGGACCACATCAGCCCATGCCACGTCAAGTCCAACTGCTGCATGGCAAGGTGCAAGAGAGACATAAGCAAACAGCCAGTGAACCTTTGCAGGGTTACTCATTGCCTTGCAATCCCTACGTTGTCACTTACTGGCTGCTAAGCAACGTCCAGAGGAAAAGCGAGACTCCATCCGTATTAGGCTGCGCTTGGCGACTTCATTTGTCATCTCTCACGTTGACAAGTTAGTCAAGAAAAGTTTCCCTGCATCCTGGTTGCACGCCCCTGCACTTAGAGCTTAAGCAATTTGAATTGGGACTGTGCTCTTGTGATGCAGAATCTACATCACAGCACGGCACGTGGCAATGCAGAGGCCTCTAACAACGCAGGGCGGAGGTGAAATGACAGCACACACCCTGACACGTTCTGTTGCTCATGGGATTTAAATAGCCTGAACTGCTTTTGCTGCTGGGAGGGAGGGCTGCCGTTTCACAGTGTATTTTCTCATCATGCTGTAAAAGCCCAATGAACTGAAGTGGTCACTACCTTAAAAGCCACAGCAACAGACAGCCCTGCCTGAGACATGCTCTTGTAAAAATGGGTGGTAGTGAGGCGAGTGCCAGTGAGCTCCTGCCTTCAACAGAGGCTGATGGAGAGCTGACATGGAGCTGAGGATGAAAGACTAGCCTGAAGGAAGGATGAACTGTTTAGCTCCTAGCTTTAAGTGGCTTAATGCTCGCGTTTCGTAAAGACCAAAAGTCTAAACATACATGTTTTTAAGAGTGGAGAGACCACGTTAGGCTATTTTTGCCTAGAGGTTTTATCAGTCACACACCCAGCAGTATTGCTCTGTGGAATAACCAAGGACCCCATCAATCCCGAAGCAACCCTTCCACTGGAGGCACAGACAACCACTCCCCTGAGCCAGGGACAGCAGGCACAGTCCAGTCTTAGCTTCAGGTTACACAACGTGGCACACAGGACTCGGCTCATGACTGCCCAGCCTCTCCGGCTGCTGTATCTGAACAGGCCATTTACTGCCTCTCCCAGGCCACGCTCCTCCTGTCATCTGAGCTTAATCAGACCTACACAATCAAAAGCAGTCTCCACAGTAAACCAGGATGCACTGCACGCCCTGAAGCAGCGCAACGAGTAAGGCGGCCGGTTTACAAGCAGTCCAGTTCCTAACACCTGAGCT